TGCCAACAGAAGTTACATTCTTAGAAGTGTTTAGTTGATTGATTAAAAAATTGAATATTAATGAATAAAATAACCCATTCATGTTATTGGAAACTACCGACTATTGCAGGAAACCTATAAACACCAGTGCTGAAGGATCCTTCTTTCTTGTGCTGTGTTTCAATCATACAAACCTTAATTTTTTTTTACAGTTTGATAACAAACACACTGTAAACAAGTGACATGACATTGATTATCAAAGTGGTGTTGTGATTTGTGTAACTTTGTACTTATCAAATTGATCCTATATTTTGCGATTTTAAATTACAGCAAATGACAATGAATACTCGCTTCCGAAGGGTCCCGGTAAAAGACAATTTTCAGCAATTTTCACTTGTACAGCGGAACGTCTCTATATTGAACACCGCTATACCAAACATTCGGCTGTATCGAAAATCATCCTTGGCTCTCAATATTTCGTGCACAAAACCTACCGAACATCATGCAGTTGCAAATCAACTGAGATTTGCCACAGCATGCCTTTTAACTCCTAATAAGCTGTTGTTTTTCTCCATCAGGGACTTGCTGAAGTGGTGTGGCCGCATAGCCACTAGATTCGACACTCCCCAGTCCATTCTAGCCAACAGCGTCTTCTTAGAGGTACAGTCACGTTGGTATCAAGTACTTATTCTAGAAACATACTAAACTTACGGTGGCTCATAGTTGACGTTGGCCACTATAGAGTACCGAAGTGTCATGTCATTTGAACCAGAAAGTGCAGTGCAAACGAATGGGGTACATACACGTGTTGGTTCACGTGCTGGCTCTCGCGCAGTGCCTTTTACACACATAATTGTGCCTGTGATGTATTTACTTCAGTACTCTGTAGAGGCTTTGCGTGGTAGGTATCTAGCCTCCATTGTGCATACCCTGTGGAACAAAAGTACTGGCCTGCAAGATGGCAGCCATGCAAACCCTCCATAGAAAAGGCTCTTATCTTAAGAATATTATGTAACTTTTTTATTAGCTCAACTTATTTCTGGCAGTTAAACCAAAGAAAGGATTCTCAATAGTAGACGCGAGTCCTTTGTGGCTCAAAAGCAGAAAGTAAAGGAGGGAGAAAGATAAACTGGACATTTTAGTTCAAGAGGCCTGAGGAAAACCACAGATTATATATTCCTGGCAGTGTTTATCCATAGGCTCAGTCATGGAATGAAAACTAGATATGCAAGTCAGCCTGGGTAGAAATTGAACCTATGTTGACTCGGGTCGAGTCACAGATGTGGAAAGCTAGGAAAGGATCTCTTTTGAAAACTAGATTTTCAAATTCACTGAATTTTCAAACCACAAAGCTCCCTGAGCTATTATTTATCGTGAGGATAAAAACAATCAGGGTGGTGATTACTAGAGAAATTCCTCTTGTATCCCCAGGCCATGGACTGCTTCTGCGCGGCCTTGCCCAAGCCCCGGACCAGATCCAACGTGGCTGAGGCGGTGGGCGTCAGGCTGAGCCTCAGCCTGGAGAAGTGCAACTTCTTCTGCCACAGCTACAAGCCCGACATCGACATACAGAAGGACTGCGTCACTGTAGGAAGAGCCAGGCTATCGAGGAAGGAGGCAGAAATCCCCGAGATTAAAAAGTCTCTCAGTCGTTTGAGTCTTCAAAAACTACTCATTTTTCATTCTGGCTTATGCGGCACAGCTTCTTTGAGACGTTAATGTTGATGACAGCTTCCGGTTGAAAACTGAAAATGTCCAAAGGGCCAGCCACCAGATTCGGGACAGAGTAAAATGGGCCAAGGGTTTGGCGATTGCGGTGCTTTCAAACAAGGGCACTTTTACAGTTTGCCAGCATACAGCCTCTCATTTCACGGCTATTTACACTTGTTTCAAGAATAATGAAATGACATCCCGCAACTTCCACAAAAACATCCCTTTCCATATTGTGGCTTTTGGAAGAAGATTTCGACAGGCATAAAATATTTGCATTCAGAAGTTTTGCCAACATATTTCCATTTGGTGGTGGCAAAAATGACTAGTATATTATAGTGGTTGACTTGAGCGAAAGTTGCTCTTACAGGGCAAATGAGCAGCAGATTAAACTCAGATAACTGGCTTTTTAACCATAGTTATTAAAAAATAACTCCACAGGTCCCGGCACTCCAACTTTGCCTTCACGAGACCGGCCAGCATCCTGCTGGAGCGAATAGCCCTTTGCATCAACAACAATGAACCGGTGCTCTTGGTGGGGGAGACAGGGACGGGCAAGACCTCCTGCGTGCAGTACCTGGCTGACTTGACGGGCCAGAAGTTAAAGGTCATCAACATGAACCAGCAGAGCGATAGCACAGACCTCTTGGGAGGGTAACTTTTTTAAGCTTTCTTTCACAAGTGCGAATTTCAGATGAATTTCATTCGCTTTTCCACAGTAAAGGGAAGAGGAATTTGAGATATTGAAGAAGGTAGAACCTTGCCATTACTTCTTTGCATTGCACTTGATTTCCCGTAAAAAATTTATATGCAAAGAATGTGGCGTTAATATCATATTTGGTGTTTTTGCCCTTCCAAAGATATACGCGCAGAAACACTGTATTTGAGTTTTGTCTAGGGCTTGACTACCTGCCTACTAGTCCAGACCTCTTCATCATTCCACCACTGAGCTTGCCAGGATTGGCCGGTCAGTTTGACAAAGAGGCAAAAAAACATCAGTGAAAGACAAAATGTCAAAAATCAAAATTAACATTTACCTGACAGGAAATGAAATGTAGCACTGGATTTCAGTTTAGGATTCAGAGCATTTTAGGCTTCATTGACATTCATGGCTGACATCGTTTTTGCCTCGAAAGGTTCAAACCAGTGGACTTCAGGCAGCTCATGGCACCCGTCCGGGAGAACTTTGAGACCCTCTTCGTCAGCACCTTCTCCCGCAAGCAGAACGTGAGGTTCCTGATGCACCTGCAGGAGTGCTTTGCCTCCCGGCACTGGCCGGACCTGCTGAAGCTAATGAGCCACTGCCACCAGGCGGCCGTCAAGAGATTTGAGAAAGACGATCGAGACGGTAGGTTGAGTTTTTGTAAGCCACTGGGGTTTGGGCTTCAGAGTTGCAGAGGTAGTTCACGCCCATCACCAGTCGTTTACCTTTGTTTTGCATTTGTAAATGGAGAACTTTATTGATGTTGACTTGTCTTTAAAATCTTGCAGATCTTACAAATTGACCACTACATAACATTTGGCTCAAGAATTAAGAGTTTCTTGATCTGTGAAAGTTTTTCTGGTTTCCCCATTTTTTTGCCAAAACAAAATGAAATTGTAACCTGAGATTATGGAGATATGGGAAAAACTTACATCAGGTGCCGTGGCAAATGCCATCATTTCAACCACCGGAATGGGAAAAGGGCCATCATGTCCGACCAGAATTCAAGCGAAATCTTCTTTTTGTTTCGTGCGCAGAGGAAGCTGAGAGCGGATCTGAGAAGCAGAGCCCCACCCTGAGATGCCAATGGCGATCCATCGGGGAGAAGATCCAGCTCCTTCAGACGCAGCTGCAGCACTCGGAAAACGCCCTGGCCTTCTCCTTTGTAGAGGTGAGTCAGGTTGATTCAGCTTTCCATGGAGTTGGCGATATTGCAACTCAGGCCTGCACTGTTTTTTGACTCGATCACGTGACGAAATTCCAAGTGAATTGCACCCTTACTGAATCGTGTGATATAACAACCTTTGGGCAGTGTGGCGGTGGCAAGGGGGCACACTTTCTTCCCTCCCCAGAAGAAAACTGAAAGATAAAAAAGGTGTGTGGGGGGGGAGAAACGGAAAGAAAAAAAAGATAAAATGGGATGTCAATAACTAATTGGCTTAAGAAAAAACCCTCAAAATTGACCCCCTCCTGCCATTGTTTATCTTTTTTAGCTGATGAATGCTTTGCCCCCCTGGAAACTTTCCCCTCTAGTAAAAAGTGCTTCTGTCCCCGGAAGACATCCTTGCAAAGTCTTTAGTTTTTCCGAGACAAAACTAAGGCACTACCTAAGTTATCCTGAATTGACTGGTGAAGGTCGCAGATCACTCGTTAATGGCATTAATGACCAGGCACGTTCTTGTCGGGTTATGCGCAGGGCACGCTGGTGCAGGCAGTCCGCAACGGGGACTGGGTGCTTCTGGACGAGATCAACCTGGCCACAGCCGAGACGCTGGAATGCTTGAGCGGTCTACTGGAGAGCACAGAGGGAACAGTCACCTTGCTAGAACGGGGGTGAGCCAGCATTGGTTGAAAAAAAACATACAGTGGGAGCTTTGACCAAGACTTGTGAAAGTTGGTTCCTCAGGAGTCCGTTGTGAGTCAGTCGCAGGTCAAATAACAGGTCATTTTTTTTGACAAGTTACAGTGGATGGACAATGACAAAGGGATATCTTTTTGACTAGAGAGGCTGTTCATGGCAGCCTTTTCCGCTAACTGCTTTTGTTGCGGAGGGAGAGATGGCATAAATGGTCTTGTGTGCATCCTCTGGAACTAAGGATCTTACTGCAGAAATGGCTGCCGCGCATGGCCTCTGATAGCCCATGATTGGATGATTTATGGACTTGCCTTGACCAGACTTCTAGTCTGGAAACGATGAAAGCAAACTATTAGCCCCTTCTTGCGTATCATCGAGTTGTTTCAGGTCGATATATCCTAGGCTGCAGATTATCGTATATACCTGAAAACAAATTTACGGAGTAATTCCATGCTCATTATCCTCTCCCAGTGACTCGGAGCCAATTCTTCGTCACAAAGACTTCAGGCTGTTCGCTTGCATGAACCCTGCCACCGACGTCGGCAAAAAAGAACTCCCTCCCGGCATCAGAAACAGGTAAGGTGGACGATCCCTACCTCTTGACGTAAACATGAACAATTCTATTCCGCTTATTCACACGGGTGGAACTCGAACCTACAGCGTCACACACACAAAGACAACGGATCACGCTTCTTCTCTTTGGACAGGTTCACCGAATTCTTCGTCGATGAGCTCGAGGAGACCCAAGACTTGAAGATTTTGGTCAGCAACTATCTCCGCGGCCTTGCTCTACCAGCGGACAAGCTGGATGGAATAGTACAGTGAGTGTTTATGCGACAGTGTCCCAGTTGAGAAAGAAGGTAAAGTTCTGGTGAAGTGACTGTTCAAAGCTTGTGATTTTTGTTGCATTTTCTGTGCGTGATTGTTTCAGGTTTTACCTGGCTGTGCGCAAGGAAGCCGACATGAAACTTGCCGATGGGACCGGGCACCGACCACACTACAGGTACAAATGAATTTTCTGGAAAAGTTGAAACTGACGATTAGATATACTGACTGTTCAACTTATTCATTTGCTTGTCGCGTAATGCATGCAGATTCAGAAATGTACAGTTTAAATGGGGGGGATTGTCATTAGGTTTTTTTGCAGAATTCCGTTTGGGGTACCACCAATTGCATCGACGATAAGGGTTACTAAGATGAGTCAATAGGCAACTGGGATTTGGAGTCTACGATGAAAGATGTATCGAATTGTAACTGGCTTGCATCATCCTCATCACCGTTTCCATCACCCTTGCATTGCTGCTTCTATAAATTTGTTTCACTGGTACTTTTTTGGCAGCTTACGCACCTTGTGTAGGGCACTGCGTTATGCCTCTGCCAACCCCTGTGGAAGCGTCATGAGGTCATTGTATGAGGTAGCTATCAGGTCCAGATCATTACAAGAGGTCCTACCCGCCTTTAAATTTCCCCCCTGAATCTACTTTTGTTCTGATGCATCAGTTTAGAGTACGTCCAAATGCTTTTCAGAAAGGCTCCAGTCTTCATGCACAGGATCGATTCCACAAATGTGTTTTTCCGATAGTGGTAAATCTTAAGGAGTTGTTATCGTTTGACATCTTACTTCTATTGATCCGCAGAGCTTCTGTCTGAGCTTTCTGACCCAGCTTGACCGCGCCTCCCACCCATTGGTGGAGCAGCTTGTCTGCAAGAAGCTAATTGGCCGGGCCAACATCAAGGGCGTCCTGGGCCAGCCCATCCCGCCGCCGGCCACCGGGAGCCACGTTAAAGTGGAAGGGTACTGGATTGCGACAGGTGACCGGGAGCCCCAGAGACAGAAGGGCTACGTGATAACTCCCTCGGTGCGAGCCAATCTGAGGGATCTGTCCAGGATCGTGTCTGCTGGGTGAGTTGCCAAGCAATCAAAGGGTTGGGAGCCCGAATCCGGTCAAGCTGGTTACTTGTCATGACCTCGGACAGGTCACTTTACCCCTACGTGACTCTTCACTCAGGAGTTAAATGTGCAGATGCTTTATGTGAGCTGTCCACACGTGCCTCTTTTCCTGACGAACTGGGATAATTAAAAGTGAAGCAGTACCCTGAGCAGGGGTGCTGCTGAGTGTGTGCTTTTTGTTAGTATTTATCATTAAAATACACCTTTTCCGTACAAATATATGCCATTGTTACCCCAACCCGGACATGAGAGTGAGAGCTTTTGTGGTCCTGTGATAGAGGTCGCTTTGATGTTTCTTCCGCTGTTCTCATTTCCCTTGCAGGACCCTTCCAGTCCTTCTCCAAGGTGAGACTTCCGTGGGCAAGACCAGCCTGATTCAGTACTTGGCCCTGGCAACCGGCAACCACTGTGTGAGAGTCAACAACCACGAACACACGGACCTGCAGGAGTACGTGGGCTTCTACGCCGCCGACGAAATGGGCAAACTGGTTTTCAAAGAAGGTACGACTCGCGGCTTGTCTTCCCCCCCCCATTTGTCTGTTCTGTACAGAGTCGGTGTCGATTCTTTACGGAGGCACAGATGGAGAAAAAAGTTCCCATCAAGTTTATTTACTAAAGAGATGTCTGCTGAGAATTTCTGAAAGCTTTACACGTCTTACCACATTCCAGTTGGTGATGCAGTTAGCCTCCCAGCAATTCATCTTAACCCATCCTACCAAGGATTCTGAAGATAAAGTAGATTCGACTATGAACATAACTTCAGGGTTGGTTTAATTTTGTAGGTGTACTGGTTGATGCCATGAGAAAAGGCCACTGGATCATCCTGGACGAGCTCAACCTTGCTCCCAGTGATGTGTTAGAAGCTCTGAATAGGGTAGGTCTGAACATATCGATTCTACTCTCTGACAACTCAGCGTTCCAAGAAAAAAAATCTGATAAATATATGAGTTGAGTGCAGTGTAAAAACTGGCGTCTGATGTTTGTTTGTAGTTACTTGACGACAATCGCGAGCTGTACATTCCAGAGACACAGGAGATGATCTCGGCTCATCCACGATTCATGTTGTTTGCAACTCAGAATCCGCCAGGCCAGTACGGAGGACGAAAGGTACGTTTGGGAAAAACCAATTTATTTTTTCAGGAAAAGAACAGTTTAGGCTTGAAAAGTGCCATTTTTTCCAGCAGATGGGACTGGGTTGTTTGTGTCCCGAAGCAAGATACTTGCTCCCGTGTAGTCAGGTTGGCTCAGAGTATTCAGATGATTTTGTTAAAGAGGAAGATTGAATACTTGCCGCTTCCGGTGTTTTTGACAGTTTCTCAGGGGTGTGAGAGTTCAGCTTTTTAGATGATTTCAGCTTTTTTGTTTAGTTGTTGACCCTGAATTTCAGCTTTTTTTACACCTGGTCTGTACAAAAGTATGAGAACCCCCTACATTTCCGCTTTTTGCTAGCTGTTTTCAGCTTTAATTTTAAGTTGCCATTCACACCCCTGATTTCTGCAGGTGTTGTCGAGGGCCTTCAGGAACCGTTTTGTGGAGCTTCACTTTGACGAGATCCCCAGCAAAGAACTGGAGACCATTCTGCACCAGCGCTGCGCCATTCCCCTCTCCTACTGCAAGAAGATGGTGTCCGTCATGCTGGATCTCCAGGTTGTCTAGATGGCCTGTCGTTTCTGTCTTATTTCTTGTGGTTATTGGAAAAGGTCAAAGAGATCGGTGATCACTGAGGCAACCCTGTTACTTCCAAGCAGTGGTTTCTTACGCAAATCACAGATGGCCAACCGAGACAATCCCAGACCCTCCTGATTAGGAGCTGTCTCCCAATCAGGAGTACAAGACAATAACCTGACCACTTAAAGACACCCACTAACTTCATGTTAGAAGCGATTCCACTCAAATTGCCGCCTGCCAGAAATCTTCCATGGGGTGTGGTGACAAGAACAGGCCAAATGGTTGTCCCTAGGAAGTGCAGCTCACTGTTTAGTAAGGTTGAAAGTCTCTCACAAGTTTCTATCCCTTATCCCTAAAAAACATCGGTAATTTCAACTGTTCAACAGCACAATCATTAACAGTACCAGAAAGCTCAGTTCTGTATGCACAAGCAGCAGTGTACAAGCCTTGTTTATTTTGTCGTGTGTTTGGGCAGACTCGGCGCAAGGGCTCGGGGGTGTTTTCGGGCAAGCAGGGCTTCATCACGCTGCGGGACTTGTTTCGCTGGGCGGAGCGTTACCGACGGGCAAGCCAGGGCCAGGGAACGCTGTACGACTGGGACCAGCACATCGCTGATGACGGTAAGGCTCCTGCTTCTCAGATGTCATTCTGTCTCCTTCTATGGCATTACAAAATCCTATTATTCATTATTTCATCTATTTGTGGAGGACACCCATAAACTACAATCACCTTTGATTTCATGGTAAAGACTTCAACAAAAGGCATTGTTTCAAATGCTGATTTCTACACTTTCCTTGTTTGTTAAGAGGACATCAAAGAAATTCTGGTGGTAGAAGTGTAGACTCTGAACCAGTCCCCACCTTGATTCGTTAAAACCATTAAAAGGATAGGAGTTTAGCTTGGATATTTCAGGGAAATCCAAACCCCTCAAAACTTGACTTTTAAACAGGGGCCAATTTCATAGGGCTGCTTAAGCACAAAATTTGCTTAAGATTGAAAAAGCCTTGCTAGACAAATCAGGTTACCAGCCCAAACTCCATGTGATGTATATTGTTTTGGAATTGTATTCACCTGCCTTTTGGTTACCATGACAATCATATAGATTTTGAGCTGGTTACCTTTGTTTTTTAAGCAAGGTTTTTTGCGCTTAAGCAAAGTTTGTGCTTAAGCAGCTCTGTGAAATTGGCCCAGATAAAGTGGTCTTGGGTCCTCTGTAAGAGACATTCTAGCTTTTAGTCAGTTTACCCAACTCTTTAAATGCTGGACTGTGTCAAGAAAGCTTCTTGCACTGTGATGTGGCTTCTGTGTTTTTTTTTGTAGGATTCCTGTTGTTAGCTGGCCGTGTCCGCCGTCCCGAGGAGCAGTCCCTCATCAAAGAGGTCCTGGAGAAGCATGTCCGCTGCAAAATTGACCCTGCCCGTCTCTTCAGCCTCACCCCCGAGACCTCGCCCGTCACCAGGGAGATCCTGGAGAGGATACTCCAGGGGCCAGCCCCGGAGGGTTTCAGTCATGTGGTGTGGACCTTTGGGATGAGACGGCTGGCTGTGCTGGTGGGACAGGCACTCAAGTTCCAAGAGCCGGTCCTTTTAGTTGGAGAGACTGGGTAAGTGCTCTTTGTTGTGTAAAATTCAGAGAAACACTAGGTTGGAGGAGAACGTTTGATAGAGTTTGAAAAACATGTTTGATGTTTAAATGGGGTTTGAGTAACAAGTTTGGCAAATTTAATATAAGTTTGATAGAGTTTAAGTAACTTGGTAGCTTGGAGGGCCTAAACTTATGCCAAAAGGTAATGAAGTTTTGATGCTGTGTCATTAAAGGAGTGAAATTGGTTCGTGTGAGATTTTTTCAAAAAACAACACTAACCACAGACGTTAATTGCCTGTAGAGCCCCGGATGAAAGTGCGGTGATTGATTTTAAACCTGGTATTACTGACAATGACAATACGGGCGCTTCACAATAGTGTACCTCCAAGAATTTGCAACGCGTTGGCCAATCAAAATGCTTGAAATCTGTTGACCCAGTGCACGTTTGGAAAGGGTTGATAGATTTCTTGCATTGTGATTGGCCAGTGTCTTGCAAACTCTTGGAGGCGCATTAGTATGAATGGCCCCTATTGAATCGTTTTGAAACCTTTGAAATTTGTTTGTAAATGGAGGAACCTTGAATTATGCTGATAATGCTTGGTGAAGTTGAACCGAGCAAGTTTATTCACTGGCCTATTGGCTTAGGTATGTTTGATGAGGGGCCATTGTCCATGCATCCCAATGTCAACCACGGTGTCTCGAATTTCTGCCGACAGTTGTGGCAAAACCACCGTATGTCAGCTGCACTCTGCCCTGACCAATCAGAAGCTGTACTCTGTGAACTGCCACCTGCACACCGAGACGTCCGACTTCTTGGGGGGTCTGCGACCCGTCAGGCAACACAGCAGCGAAAAGGTAAGAAAAAAACGTGGGTAACTGTGACCCTCACGAAAACCTTCAAAATCAGTCGGGAAATTTGGGAGGATTCTGCTGGATCGAGGAAGGTAGAGCCTGGCCACTTCTGCTTTGCAGAAGGCTCGATATTCATGGAATTGTTAAAGTCGGAAGAATGCTCCATTGGTTTCTTGCACAGTGGAGGATTGTGGAGGTTGAAAGTTTCTAGCAACAATGCCTTGGAAATTTTAGTCTGTAGATTCGCCCATAACCAAATGCTTGTATGATTTTGACTATGCTGTTCATGCTACAGGCTGATGACAAGCAGAAACTCTTTGAGTGGTGTGATGGCCCATTGGTCCAAGCCATGCGCGAAGATGCCGGCTTCCTTATCGATGAAATCTCACTGGCCGACGACTCGGTCCTGGAGCGACTCAACAGTGTCCTGGAGCCTGAGCGCACACTGCTTCTTGCAGAGCGGGGGAGCGGCGAAAGTACAACGGATGACATCGATGTGATAGTGGCCCGGGAGCAATTCTTTGTTGTGGCCACGATGAACCCTGGTGGCGACTTCGGAAAGAAAGAGGTTGGCTGCTCCAGAAATTTGATTCAAGATTTGCAAGAATTTGATGGAACGTCAAACTTTGATTGACAGGAGAAGGGACGAGAGTTATTGAGAGATACTTTTGTCAAATCTTTCTTCCAAAACAGGATCTGTATTTTATGTTACCTGGGAAGTGAAGTAATATTTTTGTTTTCTGTCAGACTGGGATCAGGTAGAAAACTATTATTGGGAACTTTAGGCATTTTGTTTTTTAACTCAGCAGCTTTAAAAATACTACACCCTTTAGCTGTTTTCTAATGATCAGTAACAAATAATTGGAGGGTTAAAAGTGAATTTCCCAATTTAGACATATTAAGTGCTTTGTATCCCTGGATTTAAGCCAAGAATTACTCTGCTTGTTGGGCGCATGATTGGTTTGAAAGGAACACTATGAATATTAATGATATGAATATTGATAGCACATGCGTGATCCGTACTGATTGGCAGTTGTCCCCGGCACTCCGCAACCGTTTCACCGAGATCTGGTGTCCGCAGTCTACCGACCGTCAAGACCTGGTCAACATCATCGAGCACAACTTGGCGGAGGGGGTGTGGCTATGCAACCAGGAGGACGGCTCCAGCGGGGTGGGCAACGCGATCATGGAATTTGTCACATGGTTCCAGAACTGCGAAGCTGGCAACAGGTGCGTTAAGGGGTGTCACCATCTTGGGTCACAAGTCGCCGGAGATGGTTTTGAGTTCAAGGCCTTTGAAAAATTTTGCACAGTGTCTGTCAGCAGGAACGTGTAACCTGTTGCACCACTATCATCAGAATGCCAGACTGACACCTGTTTCAGATAGGTGTTCCAGAGTTGCACCGAACCAAATTAAAAGCAAATTTCAAGGTCTGACCAGGTGTGCCAGCAGGTGAAAGATTGACACTCTGAGACACTCGGAATGACATCCGAGCGACTGTTTCAGACGTCGCTCTTCTCATGAGCCGATCCCAATGCAAATGTATGTATTGAATTCGTCTGTCTGAAACCCAAATTTAATTGGGTCGATCTGAGTCGCTCTTAATTCTACTTTAATAGTTCAGTGCAACTCTAGAATGCAATCAAAGCCAAACAAAAGCTTGGGATTTTCTTTCTAGTTCAAACTGAAACAAAATTTTGTGAGATCCAGTCACAGTTACAAAATTACCAATGCTTGTCTGTATACTCCAGAATTTTTCTGCCATTGGATTGGATGCCATCAGAAGATTTGAGTGCTCTCTCCAATGTCTTTATTTTGTGGATTTGTGGAGACTCCATGTGCAAATCTCTTTTGTGATCATATGTGGCCTGAAAAGAACCGGTTACTCAACATTTCGGACAGTGTGTGCTCTGTCATTATTTTTGCATTTGTTGTAAATTTAGATGCACTGTCAGCATTCGGGACATCCTGTCCTGGGTCAGCTTCATCAACTCCTGCTGCGACGGTTCTGTCCGGGATAGGGACTGTCTGGATGCGGCGCTGGCCTACGTCCATGGAGCGTGTATGGTGTTCCTGGATGGCCTCGGCTCAGGTACCGGCCAGCTCACATTTGGTCATGCCATGGTTTTGCAACTGTAAAAGCACGAGGCACGATTGTCGGGATTATTTGTTTAGCAGGGACTGGTTGCGGAAAGACACTGACGTTACTGATGCAGAGCTCAAATGATTGAATTCTGGCACGGTTGTTAACATTACCTTATCTAAAACAATGGAATTGCGTGCTCAGGAAAACAAGATGGATGTAAAACCATTTTGCAAATTGTTATTGACAATTTTTGCCCGTAGCCGGAGGGCAAAAGAGTAGCCATTATCGACGCATTCTGCTTGAATTTGGATCTGGTAATTTTTTAGACAGGAAAGACAGAGACTTAAAGTGCACATTAGACAAAAACTTCGACGTGCGATAGCTTAATTTGGTTTTCGAGTAGCAGTTTGTGATTGTCCAACTCTGCTTTGAATTTTTGGTGGGCATAGAATATATATTTTACTTGTTGCAGTACCACGCTGATATCAACTTCTCCAGAAAGGCACTACATCTGTAATACATTGGCGTGAGAAAATTTTCATCCTATGACAGACTGTAGAATTGTTTGGGGATTGCAGGTCTCGAGATATTTGCCCCTTTCGTCTCCAATTCCACACAGGGACGACCAGCAGCGCCTCCCTGCCACCCCACCAGGCCAGGCATCTCAGTCTCAACTTCCTCCGTGACCAGATCTGGCGGCTAGTCGGCCAAGACATTGACCTGACCTCGCTGACGGTGACCTCGAAAGCCACAGGGTCGCCGTCCGTCAAAGTGGTCGATTCCAGGGATGGGCTCTTTGGAATTGAACCATTTTACATCCCAAGAGGTGTGAAGGAAACGCTGCTATGTCTTTGTAAATGGATTGAATTCAACAACAGAAAAATGCCTAAGAACAGGAGTATGGATTTCAACAAGTAAAAGCAAAAAATGCTTGGTGTGAATACGACCTGAAGGTTGTTGTCTTATGTTGTACTTGACTTGGCTGGCCCTCGTCATAGAAATACTATCATGTGACCTGGCCCTCGTCATAGAAATACTATCATGTGACCTGGCCCTCGTCATAGAAATACTGTCATGTGACAGAGTGTCAAAATTTGAATTTACAGTATTTTGCAAAAGTTGTACAAATGCTTACAAGTGCTTAATTAGTATAAGGGCGAAGGATGGAACCACAAAGTAACCTTTTTCGTTGTTGATTTTATTCCTTTGCTTGAAAGGTCCGTTATTGAGTACCTTGGCCCAAGACCACTATGCCCTGAATGCACCGACCACTGCGCTGAATGCTCAAAGGGTCCTACGGGCCCTGCAGCTCCCACGAGCCATCCTGCTAGAAGGCTCTCCTGGCGTTGGGAAGACCAGTCTGGTGTCTGCAATTGCCAAGGCCTCTGGGCACGAGCTGGTCAGGATTAACCTCTCGGAGCAGACTGTAAGTGGGTCGAGCATGTTTGACGGTTTCTTCGCATTCATGTAAGGACCTGTTGCTTTTTGCTTAGGTGTTTATGCATGGAAAGGATGTGAATTGAGTGTGACCACTTTTTCACGGAATGTGCACAAATATATTTGCAATACTCTCGTAATAGGGAATTCTGCTGAAGAATTTTCATGGGCCTAAGTCTGTGCACGAATCAACTGGCCATAGAGGCTTTGCATGGTAGCCATCTTGCTGGGCAGTTCTTTTGCTCCACAAACCTACCTTGTGCATACCCTGTGGAACAAAAATCGCTGACCTGCAAGATGACGGCCATGCAAACCCTCCATAGCGTTACTTCGTGATTTCAGCTGCTTGCCATTGCCGCCAGCCATGGATGCTAGCCATTGGCTTCCTTACACACAATTGTTATTTCCACCCACAGCCAGAACTTTGGACATGGCTTGATTTTTTTTCAGTTAAATGCGCACAAATATATTTCCTATGAATGGAATGCACCTGAGCAAATTGTCCAACTCTCAACTGAATGTACACATTGTCTTTGGGTGAGAGGAATGCATTTCACCAACTTTGTTATTCTCATTTTTCGACTGAAATGGTACAGAGTTGCTTATTCTGAATGTGGTCTTCTGTACTCTGCTGTATTTCCAAACCCCTCGACAGCATGGAGCAGTTTAGTGACAGACCGGCTAACAGCCTCATGAATATTGCCTGTTCATACTGGCACTTATGCTTTTGTTGTTGTGGCTGTTTCAGGATGTGACCGACTTGTTCGGTGCTGACTTGCCTGTGGAGGGAGGTGCAGGTGGTCAGTTTGCCTGGCGGGACGGACCGCTGCTCAGAGCCCTGCAAGGAGGCCACTGGATTGTCCTGGATGAGGTATGCTGGCCCAACACTATGGCTAGATTTAGTTTGATTTCCATGAAATCTTGTCCAGCCTGAAGTTCATTTTGTATTATGGGTTTTGCCCTTTTCACAGATGTGTATGCAGAACACTGTCCGCTCTGTGTTTGTCGGAGAGCTTTCGAAAAAATTCACAGATTATTAGGGGGGGAATGGAACCCCTGACCTGCTCACTAGCGTAGACATCTTAAACATTCCCACCAAGAGTCCCACCTGTATTAAAAATTAACATCTCCTGACGCAAAGTACATCTTCAAACAGCCTCAAGCCGTGCAATTACCTCTGGGATCATTTGACTGGGCAGATATTAACTGCTGGCTTCTTTTTTTGACAGTTAAACCTTGCCTCGCAATCCGTCCTAGAAGGCCTCAATGCTTGTCTGGACCACCGGGCGGAGGTGTACGTTCCAGAGCTGGGCCGAACCTTCCACATTCAGCACGAGAGGACGCGACTTTTTGCCTGCCAGAACCCGTTGAAACAAGGCGGAGGCCGGAAGGGACTGCCACGTTCCTTCCTCAACCGATTCACACAGGCAAGTTATTAATTAAAAGATTCTACTAGGGAATTTTCCTCGTTATAAAAACAGCTGACATTGATTAAGTCAAAGATTTTTGATGGGATTTTCTTTATTTTTGGTGCTGTGATTTTTAATATTAGGCTTTCCTCAACTGTAAAAATAGGTGCACGGATCTTATGCCAGCTGGTCAGCAGCAGTGCACACACCTGCCTTTTTAAAAAAATGCACCTGCCTTTTTTTTTCAAAACTTGTCACTTTCCTCATTTATTTATTTAGGTGTACGTTGAGCCCCTGACTTCAGGAGATTTGCTTTTCATAGCACACACTATGTATCCCATGATGAGCTCGCAGGTTTTGGAAAAGATGGTGGCATTCAACAAGCAGGTAAAAGTTTGGATATAATCTGACAAAACAAGTCATACATTGCAAGAGTCGACTTTTTTGTCAGTGCAGAATACTGGAATACATATGCAAAGATTGGGATTGTAGAGGAATTGTAAGGGTTTCGCTCAGCTTTCCCCGAGAGAGATGCAAGACAAAGCCTGTCATTATTGAAGAGCAGATCCATGTTGATGGATCAAAATGAGCCTTCTGTCTTTGCAATGCATGTGAACGGCATGTTTCCATGGAGCTTATTGATTAGATTTTTGGGGGGGTGGAAATTTCAGCCTGCATGGGTGTCAGGCAACGGTTGTCAAATTATAGTAACCTGGATCACAAAATGCTCTTGTAACTTTCGTCTTGAAGAAAAAGGATGGAGATGAATTTCATTGTAACTGATCCCCTGAGAATCCGCACCCTCCAATTGTTCACAAGTACAGTGACGCTGATTACCGGTTTGTCATATTGAAGAGGGACGAGTGCACGTAGTAGACATGGATTCCACCAAACCAAGACTGAAATTGGTGGATTTGTTGGAATTTGAAGCTTTTGCATGCCCTGACCACGGCAGTACCCACATAAAGTCGTCTCGGTTTTTTTTTTAACAGCTTTACCAGGACACCATGGTGGACGGCCTTTGGGGTCAGCGAGGTGGGCCCTGGGAGTTTAACCTGCGTGACCTTTTCCGCTGGTGTGACCTCATGGTGCGTGACCAGCGGCACGGACGATGGCAACCCGGCCAGCATGTGGGGCTGATCTATAGGGACAGGATGCGCAGCCAACAGGATAAACAGAAGGCGAGTAAAGGAAAAAGCATGGTGTCGTTTCCAAAACAGATTTGACATTTGCACTATAAGAATTTCCTGTAGCCCACTAACAGTATTCAAAGGTATTGGCTATCGCTAGCATCTCGCAAACTTTTCAGTGAAGGAAATTCAATGTATTCAAGGATTCAGTGCAGCATCCATTGTTCCCACCTTCACTGTTCCCGCCTCAGCGCTTCACCGAGCTAATCCCTACGTCTGGATCCCTCTCCACACCGTATAAGCTCCACTCCCAGTTAGAATCCTGCAGTCTCCTGAAGACGGACAGAGTACACTGTTCAAAACGTCGAGCTATTCCCCGGCTCTTCTCAGAGCAGCACATACTCAAGAAAGAGATTGATACGTAGTGCAACCGCAATCATTTCACTTTTATTGTGGTTAACTTACCGCACTGATTTTGTAAGGAGCTTTTTTTTTCTGGCGTGTGTAGAAATATTGACGGTGTTAGTTTTCAAAACGAATTTTATCCAATATGAATTTGAAGCATGGATGTTGGCTAAAATCAGACAACGTTGAAGTTAACTAACTGACATTTGTACAGTTGGTGTTACGTTGTGTGTCTTCCTTCCTCTATAGAGCACCGAACTGAATTACGCCACGCGCACTATTATGAGCATAATGGGAACCAACGCGTGAACCAAGACACACATACAGTTGTCGTTTGCTATTCACTTGCTGGTTTGAATGACGTTATGCTCTGGTGTTCTGCTGTGCTCTCCAGTTTACACATCACACCTTAGTATTGTTTGCCATGATTGCTTAGACAAATATTGCCTTTTCCCAATTAAACGACCACCCAAAACAAAAGAAGCAGGTAATTGAAGACATTGAGGCATAGAAAGACTTGAGTCTTGTTTCATAGTTTTCATCAAGCAGTGTTTCTTTTATTACGTTTTATTCATTTTGCTTTTGGCATCTTTAGGTTCAAGATCTATTCCAAACGGTATTTGGAGATGACTTTGGAGATGTCTATGAGGGTAGCAGACAAGTTCACATTACACCTGTTTCTGTCCAGGTATGAATATTAAACCAATTGTTGATGGTGATGCAAGTGCAAAGGACCAGTACCAGTAAACATTTTTTGGAAAAATATTTAAAATGTTCACCCAGAATCTTGTTCTTTTTTCAATAAAGTTGATTCACAAAGAAAGTCGTCTCTGAGTGAAATTTCTGTGGTTTCTTTGGCAGGTCGGTCACTCGTTCCTCGGGAGAAAGGACCACATTCCTAGCTCCTATCCCGGCCAGAGAATCCCCCTTCAATTGCTCCATCACTGCCTGGATCCACTGGAGTCAGTCATGAAATGTGTGGAGATGAACTGGATGACCATACTGGTAAAAGCCGGCAAGACCTAGCTGCCTTCAGCAGATAATGCAAGGCCTTCTCGTATATTTTGATGGTCCAGAAGAATGTTTAAGGCCACAGGTTTAGGTGTTTGAAAGAGCATTCAGTGTTAGGCGGAACCTGTCACCAGCATAATTTGATAAGTGCTGATCGTTTGACGATGTCCCACAACCCGTCAGAAAACTTCACAGTTGACTTCAGTTGAAACTCAAATCCGTACCTGCTTGAATAAAAAGTGGCTTGGCAACTACACCCTGTGTTTGGTTCATTCAAAAGAATATGTTTCCCCCTCGATGCCATTTAATTAAACAGCATGTAGGAATAGAGGATTCTGTTGGCGTTAACGGTGGCAGTGAGTTTGGTTCAGTCAGAAACATGCTGATAGTTAACCCAGCTTTGCAGTAGGTTTTTGTCAAATTTAGCATTCTGACCATGATGAAATTTTCACATTTAACCCAGGTTGGTCCGAGTGCTAGTGGTAAGACATCCCTGGTTCACCTCCTTGGTCACCTGACTGGTCACATGGTGCAAGTCCTGGCCATGAACAGCTCCATGGATACAACTGAGTTGCTAGGAGGTTTCGAGCAGGTGAGATGAGAAATGGAAAAGTTGTTCCCAGTCCGTTCTTGTAATTCTTACCTGGGGAAAAATGATGTAACAAGATCTTTTTTGTGCTTTTTTTGACAGGCCGATTTGAACAGGCACTGGGAGAAAGCTCTGCAGTCTCTGCATCTTGTCGTCATGGAAACAGAGAGGCATCTCCTATTGGCTGACAGTGTGGACATATCCCAACATGCATCGCAGCTCATGGCCAGTTGGGGTGCTCTTAACAGCATGTGCAAAAAAGGTTTCATTTGATAAATCCATCTCTTTTCTTGTTAGACAAATTGTGCCTATTACTTTCTGTATTGGTATCCAGAAATTAGGGGTCCAAAAACATTTTTGTGTCCCAGTTACATCTGACCTTTGTTATTTGACTTGGAAATATCACCGGAAAATGATTTCAAACTTTTACTATGTGTTTGGCAGGTAATTTGCAGTCATTCATCACTCTTGGAAATTAGAAAATGTGTTCTGAACTTACAAAAATCATAGGTCAGATGTGACAGGGACACGAAAAAAATGGACCCCTAATTTCTGGAATTACCCATATGGGGACCATCTCCCAGCAGACTGGCCTGAATTGCTGATCGTTTGGATTTCCCACAGGATCTCAAGGAGAACGGGATAACCTCTCTAGCTCGTCCGGTGAGCAGCTGTCGGAGAGAAAGCTTGACATGTTTGAGCAGGTGTTGGACGAGGTCCGTAGTGCGGTCCAGAGATATGCACCAGAGACAGACATGAGTAAGAAAAATGCTGTGCTTCATTCCTTACATAAGCACGCCTCACATCACAGAGATTTTGAATCTTGGTAGGTCTGGTTCGGTTGTGTACTCCTTGGCAACGTTCTACTCGAGGGAAACCCTTAGCGCGTAGATCGTAGCCGTCGTGCAATTGTAGGGATTGTGTCCATAAGCAGGTCATTTTACCGACAATAGCTTTAAATCCTTGTTTGCCATTGGATAGTGGTGAATTGATGTAAAAACATGATGAATCCACTCTTTGGTAACGTGTGCTTTCCCATGGGGGCTTGAGGGATCATGTCCTACCTCACAACCACAGGGAAGTGCATCAAGTGAGTGTAAACAAAGTGAGACGTCACTATGTTATAGGTCTGTGAGCCAGATTGGTATTTAAAAAAAAACAAGGTAATTTGGAAAAAAACAGGCACAGGAATCTGCGTAGGGTCGCACTGATTGGGCAGACCTTGCGCGCCTATTCAAGTAACCTCAGACATGCTTCATTTTTACATGCGCTGTTTGAATACCAAACTGGCTCATTGGAGATTTAGTAAACAGGAAAAAAAAATTGGGTCTGGAAAAACCATGGCAAAATTACAACGAAAATGAAAAAGCACAGTTTCCTCAGACTTACTCAGGTTTGGTTTACATTACACGCATTAAAGAAACAAAAGAAGTGTTGTTCTACATGTCCTCATTGTGGAAATTCAGGGAAATTTCTCATCTGACACAAATTGTCTTTTAATGAAAACCACTGCTATATCTAATTTTCAGTATTGTGACTTCTTGCCAATCCGTTTTCCTCTTCCAGATGAGAAAGTCGAGCATCTGACTGCCGCAGTTGCCCAGTTGAGAGCGAGGCTTGCAAAGGACGATCGCACCATTCGGCAAGGCGGGGGTGGCAAATTTGAGTGGGTGGATGGGCTGCTGGTCCAGGCATTGAAGAACGGCGACTGGCTGCTGATTGACAACGTCAACTTTTGCAGGTACCGCCATTTTTTTGGTCGGTTTTTAGATTTATCTGTGTATGCAGTTGATAAATAAATGATAAAGATAATTCTTGAGAACTTTCTCAAAATACTGCAAACATATGTGGACTAACCCTCCTTTGGTTTTACAGCACAAATATGCACTAGTGCCCACAGTCAGTCTCTTG